GTGCTCTGCCGCGACCTGCCTGCTCCAGTTCAAATTCGAATTCGTCCACCGACCGACTAGTGGGGTGAGGACGACTATATTAACACTGGCAACACTTGAAGCAATGGTAACATCAATGGTGCACAGGTAACTCGGTAACACTGGTATCACGGGTAAAGTATGGCCGAAGCCTTATTGCTATTGAATGTTAGAATGTTCAACGATACACTCTTATTTCTCCACAGGAGTTCTGTTAGACGGCGAGAAGCAACGGTAAGAGCAGTAGCAGCGCATCAGCAGCAACAAAGGCAACTGCGGTGATGTATGGCCGAAGCCTAAAGGTCTGGCAATACACATTACGTTATCTCATCGCCTCGCGATTTCCCCAACAAGACAGCGGTTACAAGTTTATCGATCGTCTTGCGATTCGGTTGGAATAGTTTTCCCACTTTATTAAGCGCGACTAACTATGACAACCGAAATGCAAGATGATCGACATGCAATGGACTCGTGACAATTGCCTTTTTGGAACAATTGCGAGGCGATGAAATCGCATTATGTAGGCCCCGCCCGTCGCTCGCACACGCTGTTGTCTGGGGTGGAGGACTATATGTCGCTGAAAGTGAGAGAGTCCCGCGCGAATTTTTTGCACGAACACATCTCCGTGCATATGCAAGGGTGCGTCTTTGTTGCGAATGACCGCGGGAATACCCCTTCTTGGCGACATATAGCTCTCTATCCCTGTTGTCTGACTGGATGATAGGCTTTGGCCATACTTTATCCGTGTTATCCGTGTTACCGTTGTTACCAGTGTTACTCGTGTTACTAGCGTTACCAGGGCTCAGCACAGCTGGCACCGGGTCAAGCTGGATATCGTTTTTAGCGCGGAAAGCAAAGGGGATATCGTTTCTACAGGGGCCGAGGCGGAGAACTGCCGCAAAAATGCCGCCGGCATGCCACCGGCATGCCATTGGCAAGCTGTCCATCAACAAACGAAGGCGTTGTTTTCAGCCAAAACGCAATAGTATGACACCAAATTTGGTGTGTGCATGCGCGTTGGTGGACCGGAACTACGGGCCAAAAATTTATGAAAACTTATGTGGATGAAAGCTGTGCCCAACTTTTTTCTGAATTAGCTGGCACCGTGCCAGCTGGGTGCCAGCTGAGCTGGCACCGACACTTTGCTCACATAAGTTTTCATGCTTTTTTACATAAAATGTATCTACACTGTAAAAGATTACATACGGAGAAGAAACAGTTTCATAATGTTCTCTTTTCAGCGTTTCATAGCAATTTGAAAACCACTCGGTCCGCTCCACCGTCGAAAAATCTGCTTTTTCTGCTTCTCAAGATGTGATTCGACCAATTGAAAAGCTCAGAAAGCTGTGAAAAGTTCTCTCATGAAATCAAAAATGCATGAAAACACTACTTCATACTTTTACATAATATAAAAATGATGACGGGTTTTCAAAACAGGTCAAAAGGGACTTCGTACGAAATTTTCAATATCAAACGGGACTTCGTTTTGAAATTTCCCTGGTGCCAGCTCGTGCCGAGCCCTGAGCGTTACTCGTGCTACCGATGTTACTAGTGTTAATACCTGTGTTACTCATGTTACTCGTGTCGCTAGTGTTACTAGTGCCGTCGAATTTATTGTTGTTGAGTAGTGAAATGATCACAAATGCAGTCTCATTCTGAAACGCAGTCTCATTGACTGGTGATTAACACTAACACTATTTAGTAACGCGGGGTAACACTAGTAACACTAGTGACACGATTAACACGAGTAACACGAGTAACACGAGCAAAGTGTGGCCAAAGCCATACTCCATAATGATTATGTTTATGATAGCGAGAGAAGTTCATTTTTATTCTGAAGTCCCGGTCAGTCTCTTGCCTTGCTTTTCTAACACGTTGACGACGAGCTACTTTTTGGTGCCTGTCTCTGTGGACGAGCCGTTTCCCAGCATTTTTACACCTGGCCGGATTTATGTGAGCATGCACCCATGGGGAAGGGTGCGAATTCGTGCGAATTTCGGCATTTTCGAAGAATGGGCGGAGCTTACCACCGAGGGGGCGGGGCATACCTGTTACTGGGCGGGGCCTAAGTTGAAGTTGCTCGACTTTCCGCGATCATTTATGGACTCTTCTATGCGCTGAGGACAAAAAGCCAGAATAAGGGCAAGGCCAACACGAAATAAATACCCCTATCCTATCGTAATTATATGAAGACAAATTAGAACGATTGAATACTTTGTTGAATTTGAGGTGTCAACTCCATCTGGGGAACACCGCTGCTGATAGACCGCGACACCGGCGGCAGTCCGCAAATGCCCCGCCTACTCTAGCGAAAGTGAGCAAACAATAAATGCAATTCATTATTCTGGTGCGGAGGTGTGAGTGTATTAGCTCTCGCATAGAAAGCTGAACATTTGTCGTTATTTCGTGAACAGCATTCTGCGCTTTGCATGACTACTTCAAGGGAGTTTGCCGCTGCGTTGCAAACGATCCTAAAACCCCAGATTTGCGCTAGTCCGCCTCCTCACAACCGCTATAAATACGGCAGCTTTCAAACTTATCAGTCAGTCGTCGCAAGTGTACTTTAAGCTGTCGGTTCCAACTTCCAGGTCCAGTCGATCAATCAAGCAGCCCTAACCCAATTCACGCGATGTCCAGCACCAAAGCCGTGGAGGAATGGCCTGCTGTCTACGAAATAACCTGTGGTGTGCTCGCGCCTGGCACACGTCGGCAATGCCGCCTCGGGGGTTTTCTGATTTGCTGACCCCTAAAAATGTAACATCTTGGTCGGTTGTACTCATCCCTTGTGCTTGATTTTACTGTCGATATTAGGATAAATGGTGGGCATTCAGGCACCTATGCTTTATCGATGCGGTATAAGCCTCCGCTAGCAATTCTTGGTTAGGGTGTGGCTATCGTTGTTTAGCCTAGAGAGTTCGATAGGTGTGAAGGCTGGTACGATTCATGGTAGTGCCAAAGATTATGACGTGTCCCAAGTGTCAGTAGTAAAGGGCAAGTCTCATACCGCAGGATTTGTAATAGCTACTAAGCAGGCTGGCGGCAAGGGCCTTTACTCAGATAATCGCTGGGGGCAGGCGGCCATGCGATTTATGGGCAGCGCCAGAAAAATAGTTCGCTGATACACTGTGGTCCGCTTGCAGATATTGGAAGGATTTTGGCGAAATCCTGAACGAATGTTCGGAGAATAATTGCGGCTTCTTCATAGATTAGTTGTAGCGCAGTGGCTGCATTCTCGTGGACCTACCGCAAGAATATGCAGAATTATTGGGGGCCGCACGGTCCTTTAAAGAAAACCGCACAGCTCCTAGGAATCTTTCGCTGAGAGTAAGTACCCAAACTCGGGTGATTGAACTGTCAATGACACCTCTGTTATGTAGAGTGTTAACTTCGGCGTATCGAAACTGCGTAAAAAGAGTCCGAGCGCCTGCTGAAAGTTTGGCCAGCGCTTGCTGAGAAAGATTATTTGACGAGCGCTTGCAGAAAATTTGGTATTGCTGCCCGCTGTCTTCAACTGTGTACAACATTTTAATTTATTGTTTATACAAAAAGAAACACAACATAGTGGCAATTTATTAATTTACAGCCACAATAGACAATGAAAAATATCTTTTCCTAACTCTCGTCCATCACGCCCACGTCAAAGCTAAACTTTAGCCATTCGTTTCATGACCAAGCGCCCTTCCATGCGAACTCATGTACTGCCCGCTCCATAAATTCCTTAAAATATGGTCTCTTAAAAACGTATCTCTCAACTTCAGACTGGGTACTTTCTCGCCTCAGCAGCTGCTTCGTTTCAGTGAGAGGGGTTTCAATTTTAACACGTTTCGGACCGGTGCTGCACATGGTGCAGCACGCGCCTTTGAGAGATCTTTCTAACGTTTACAGAATGTTTTCTTTTTGTCCAAGGTTATCAACTCAAAGGCCTATGCTCCTCCTTCTCAAATGACTCTGTAAGGCTGTGCCGCCGATATTTGTTTAGAAGATATGAGCACAAATCGAACAACAGTTGCAACGAAGTACGGCAACGCGAACGACGCGTGCAACCTCGCAACTTTCCTTTGCTTCGAATTTAAGAGAAAAAAACCGTAGTTTCGATAATGATGTGTATGGTGTACAACATAGATACTTTTGGGTACAATTAGAATTAGAATTAGAATTAGTTCTTGTTCCCATCTTTCAAAAAAGCACAGAAGTCCTCAGGCGACAAAATTCAAACACTTCGAATTCGCTCACGACTTTGGGTATGGATCTTATCTGACGTGCTGATTATAGAGCACACAGTCTACGAATTAAGGCCCCTTTGTTGGTTAAAGGCTGAAAGTACCCTCTTTTCGCCGCGCGCGATTTCGCGGTCCGAAACGTGTTAACTCAAGTAAGTGATTTCTGGCTAAGATTCGTTTGCATTCTCATTCCATCGCTCTGTAAATTTATTCTTTTACCGTCAATCTACTCCACTTCATGCTTACTAGAATATTACCTAAAAAATTTTTTTGGTCCGCCCGAAGTGAAGCAGGGGGGGGGGGGTAGACCAGGCTCCAAAGTGAGAGGTGGGTGAGATTCATCTCACTCTTCGCACCTATGATAGAGTGTTACCTTTACTTGGCGTACGCCCGAAACCGCGCAAAAAGAGGCCGAGCGCACGCTGAAAATTCGAGCGTTTGTTGAAAGGGTTTGCTTGACGACCGCAAGCAGCAAATTCTATGACTGCCAGCTGGCAGAACATGCGACAGCGAAGGAATCACCGCTGCTGAAAGGTTTGCCACGCTCCAAAATTTTGCTGACCGCTTGCAGAAAAGCGCGAGTTTGCGGACCACTTTTCCCCGGCAATTATCTGAATAGGTGTGCATTGTGTATGTAATGTGACAGGCCCAATGACATTCTTCGCAAGTATCGCCATCTTATTGTGTGTAGCCGTGATCGAGATTGTTACAATACTTTATCGGCTAACGTTTCGGCAGATCGCCTTTTTCAGAGCCTGAAATGGGTAATACGATCTGCAATCCATTCGACAACGTCTCTATAGCAATGTGAGCAAAGTGTCAAGATTCCTGTTAGACCACTAGCTCAGCTGATAATCGATAGCCAAACACTCACCGCAAGATGAATGACTGACCGCGTACGGGACACTATTTATAGCAGAAAACTAGGTCAGAAGAGCTGACCGAGGCGGGGCGCGAGTTCACGCGTGATCGTTAGGCATCATTTTTGGGCTTTTCGCGTGAATCTAAAAAACTTCCAAACATGTGCGAGCTGAGGTTTGGGATTCGTGTGCCAGGATTTTCACCGAAACTCCAAAATTTGTCCCCGCATGTTTCTGAACCCGGTGAGTGCCTGGAGGGGTGGATGTGCGCGATTTATCCCTGCCATTCAAGCGTTCCTTGATGCGAACACACAGCGGGCGCGCCGTCTCACCTATGTATTCCTCGCCGCAGTCGTCGCAGGAGATCATGTAGATGACCCCGGTGGCGGCCATGCAATCCCCGCCTCTGCCCTGAGGGCATATAATGCAATTTGGCGTGATGCAGAAGCGATCGTAAAGACGATTGTGAACAACAAACAACACACAATATGATACCACCATGCCAGAGGCGTACCGAGGGACGGCGGGGGAAGCGCGAAATTTTTGAAAGTCACCTAAATCTTATATATAAAGCTGAATGTCTGTCTGTATGTCTGTACGTATGTGCGGAATAGAAATTTTTATTTCTGAACCGATTTGGACCAAACTTGGCACACATATACTTCGGGGCAGGGAGCGTGTCATAGGCTACTTTTCGTTATCGATCGATATCGATTTTATCGATTTTTTGCAAATTGAGCTACAGGGCTGGGAGTTGGCACAGGGGGGGGGGTAATCGAGCATGCTGATTACGAATATAATAATGACAGGCCCGGGCGGAGCCGGGTTTGCCAACTAGTGAGTTATAAAAACGTGCAAATGACTTGTTTATACTTGTAAATTATTAGAATAATTTTTTAAATTTTTTGGAAATTCAATTTCGCCTTATGAAAAAAAAATTTTGTCAGCCACGCCCCCTTTTTCTGAAGTTTTGAGGTTAGGGGACCCAAAAAATCTTGGGAAGCATACCAAAGAATTTTAGAAAAAAAAATTTTTGTTCTCCCCCCCCCCCCCCCAAGCAGAAATCCTGGGTACGCCACTGCACCATGCCGAGGTTCATCGAGAGTCGTACATTCCATATCGCCATCTCACGTTGAACCTTTCCATAAAGAAGACTCCCGTTCCTTGTATGCCGATGCACGCGAGCAATATCCACTGACGATGGGAGCAGGGAGTCGGTCCAATTCAAGACACAGCAGATCTTTTGCTGAACTAAAGGTGCCAACTTCCATACGTATAAAGGCTAGTCCCAGCCAAGCCGGCTGCTCTAGTACTCAGACAATCGCTGGGGGCAGGCGGGCACCGGAAAAATAGATTGCTGATTTCTCGCATTCCGCTCGCGGAGCAAAGCAATCAGGACTTTTCGGAAGACCGCTTGCTGAGTCAGCGGATATTTGAGAGACCGCCTGTTGAATTTTTTTTCGCTCTTATCTTTTGCAGATATATTGCTGAATCTCTGAGGAATCGAGAACTCAGCAAGCGGTCTTCCGAAAACTTTTGATTGCTTTCCAAAAAATCCGCGAGCGGGGTGCGAGAGATCAGCAATCTATTTTTCCGGTGCCCGCCTGCCCCCGGCGATTGTCTGAGTAGGTGAGGCATGCGTGGGAGTACGAGCTCTAATAAAAGAAAACGCTCGAACGCGGCATTTGCACTCGCTTCGCAGGATGTGCGGCTGCCTTCGCCAGGGTTCAGCTTCGGCGGTTTCAACTCATTAATCAATTACCACATTTTTTAAAACTCTTAAGTCATTGATATTTATTGTCTGCTCGTTTACCGTAGTGTGAGCGGTTCACTGCAGAAATGAACACACTGATGACAAATTTCGCGCTATATTCGTACTCTTCTCGCCATCTCTGGCTACGTCTGCAGTTCCGCCTACTCTATGGCAATTGAGCAGATCATAGGTGGACCTACAAAAAGCAGTTGCCTTGGGGTGCTTTCTATCTTCTTCCACTCCAAGGTTGCTGCTACCCCTCCTGCGGCACGTATGTCTAACATGTTGGCACATGCAACAACATGTCGACGTTGAATTCAGTGGCTCGGAATCGCCCTGGATGTTATTATCCTGACTACATTGGAACGTATGTTAATGAAGCAAATATAGGGAATAATATCTCTAGCTTATTTCAGCGAAACCGAAAACTTGCGTTTTCATAGCCTTTTTTACGTTAGAAAAAAAAGGTTTCTGTGGAATTTTCGCAAGAATTCAGGACAAAATTTCTCAGTTAACCTCTCATTTGACCAAAATAGAGTTTCAGAAGTTTAGGAAAGCTATTGAAGTTAAATAAAAAGAGAAACTGCGCTTAATTTTGCACAGAGAATCGCGCACGAACACGCTGGTCTATCTCGTTAATGAGTGATTTTTAAAGCTTGGGACGTTGTCATTTCTTCTCGTCGTGTCATGACGATCAGAATGATATATAATGTTGCAGGGTTTCGTTGAGACCCCGCGGAGATCTACGATCAGAGCCAAATGCCTCGTTGGCTCTGGTCTGTCTCCGCTGCTCGTCTGCGTCTCCGCGCGCTGCGCGCTACCTCGCTACCCCAAACGCGGGGCGCGGGGCATTTGGCTCTGGTACCCTTTTCTCCGCTGTTTCGAACCTAATTTTGACAAGCTATATATCATTTTGAAGCTCTTGATCTCTATCTTCACGCTGACAACGTCCAAGAACCACATTTTTTTGATTTGATCGAAAAAACCGGCAAAAACCTTGTTTTCGAAAATCTCTTGTTTTTCTCATAGTTTGACTATATTCACGCGCTTTTTTCGTGCATTCTATAGATCTTGCTTCTGTTCATAATGCAGACAACCACCTAGCCCTTACCTCTTCGATTATGGTGGAATTTTTTGGGAACAATTGTAAAAAGTGCGTTTTTCTTTACCTTGTTCTGTTTCTGTGCTTTCGCATCGACTTTTTCCAGCTTGGGCGTTTGTTGCTCAGAACAATAAGCGCAACAATCCGGAAAACGTCCCAGGAAACAGGAACGTCAATGCGGGGTAAAAATTTAAAGGACGCATTAAAAATCAAAACCCCGTGTTGCGAATCGCTGGTTTTGGAGCGAAAACTTGCTCTGAGAAGCTGCCAAAAAGATTTCAAAGCTTATTGCAGCGTTTTTGTCCAGTTTACAGCGGTTTCTTTTGCTTTTTATATCTGTTGTACGTCATTTTCTCTTCTCTGATTTTCTTCAAACAACCTTTACTATTTATGACGTCAGATGTTCAAACAACCTTCACTTTTGGCGCCCTGTCTCTAGACTATCGAAGGTATGCTTTCTGCATGCCGCTTCCTATGATGGGATGGAAATTTCCTAGTAAGAGCGAGTGTAAGCATGGCTTGCGCGCATGGGTTAGCGTTTTCTCGGTAGGTGAGGTCGACCGGACTTGGTCTCTTGTCATGTTTAGGTGGTAAGCAAATCAACACAAAACCTCCATATATCTTTTGCCAAACCACTGCTTTTGAGGCTCACAGCTAAAACATTCGCCAACATCTCAGTCAATTCGCCGGGGGAAGGCGATCCGCAAACTCGCTGTTTTGTGCAAGCGGTCAGCAAAATTTTGGGGCGTGGCAAAACCTCCAGCGAGAAACTTCCGTGCTGCAATACAAAATTTGCTGTAAGCGCTCGTCAAATAATCTCTCTCAGCGAGCGTTGGCCAAATTTTCAGCAAGCGCTCGAACTCTATTTACGCAGTTTCGGGCGTACGAGCATTCGTTCAGAATTTCGCCAAAATTCTTCCAATATCTGCAAGCGGACCGCAAGAAATCAGCGAACTATTTTCCGGTGCCCGGCTGCCCATTCGCATGGCCGCCTGCCCCGGCGATTATCTGAGATGTTGTTGCATGTTCCAAACACGTTGCATGTCACCAACATGTAAGCCATACGTGACGCAGGTCAGAGACGCAGTGCAGGGATAGCTGCAGTTGTGCAGTTGGCGATAATTGCTCACGAGTTTTTTAACGAATGTATATAAGCAGAACATAACGAGTTTTAAGATATTTTCAGAAATTTTGCGTGTTGTTAACCCGAAATTCCAAAGGGGCGTGTTGGCATCAGTTTTGATCACATTTAGTGATTTACAAGTACCCTTATTTCACGAGTACAAACCACACCTTTTTCGTCTTCAAAGGCAACGTCCACGCAGATCTGGACATATGGCGATCTCACGTGGAAAGTAATCTGGAAGCTCCAACTAAGACGTAGCACAAGCGGCAGGTCAGATGGTGCACTTTTGGCTGAGATATTCATCTTCATCCGACCCAAGTATTTTACCAAAGGACGGTGCATCATGCTCACATTTTCGCATACCATGAACTATCGGGTGTATGCCAAGATGAACGATAGCTGGCAATAAGCATACTGTGCTCCAGCGGTTGTCAATATGTCGCACATAAAGGCTTATTTTTTGAAGCTTTATGTTCTACACTGGGTTGCAAGTGGTGTCGTATAGTAAGAATTAGGGCATGAAAGCTTCCAGCGTTTTTTCAAGTTTCTAGATATGATCATAGCGTAAATATGGAATTTGAAGAAGGATTTGCCAGCCATACGCAGCGCATATGGCTGGCACAACATATCGTTCATGTTGGCTGCCCCCCTGAACTATCATTTTTGTGTGGGTCTGCACGAAAGCATGCAAGAACGATGTAAGTCGTCCGTTAATACCGAATTTCTCAGTCGTGAGTGAATCATTTGCGCTGCCGCTTGGCACAGGGTAAAGCGGGGGGTGCGGCACGCCGCAGGGGGGGTCGTTAGGGGGGGGGGGGACGGGGGGTAAATAGCGGGGGGGTCGTATCGACCCAAGGTCAGAAGCACTTGTACAAGCTGTGTGACTAAATTGACTCGATGAAAGCGCTGTTGAAATCCTGCAAAATTCAAGTTCAACGACACAAACTTGCAGATACCGTGTGCCTA